CCTCCTACTTTCAGGCACTTGACTAGGAGTTGGGTAACTGGTGACCCGTGGCCTGGTCCTCTTCTCCTTCCCGCCTGCGAGCACCCTCACTGCAAAGGCTCGGTGGCATCACAGAGAGCATCCCAGGGCCGCAAGCCTGGGCCAGGGTGATGGGGTGCACTGAGAGCCTCCCTACCTGCTGTCACAGCCTGCCAAGGAAAGGGTGAGTGTGGGAGGGGACAGCCAGGTCCCCATGTGAAGAATGGGGCCCAGTGGGGAGTTAGAGGAGGAACTGGCCCCTTCCCTGAAGGGAGGTTGTCCATTCGGTCCCTAGCACTTCCATTGCCCACTCCACTCCCTACTGCCTCAGTCTCCTGCAGAGGGTGGGTGGGATGACAGGAAGGGGGCGCTCAGTTCCAGGACTCAGGCTCTGAGAGGAGGCTCATGGACCCTCCAACGAAGAAAGGCCAGGGCCCTTGCCCCTGCTGAGGGGACCCACAGACCGGGGAATTAAACAACAGAAATGTATTGTTTCACAGTCTGGAGGCTAGAAGTCTTCCGAGAGCTGCGAGTGAGAATCTGTTCCATTCTTCAGGATTGGATTAGGGCATGACCTCATCTTAACTAAATACAACTGCTACGGTCTAATAGCTGAGTTGTATGGTATGTGGACTATCTATCTAAAAGCCTAAGTAACCGAGCGACCAAACGACTGGTCACTATGATACACACTGACCGCCAGGGGCCAGACGCTCAATGCAGGAGCTGCCCCTGGTGGTCAGTGCGCTCCCACAGTGGGAGAGCCGCTCAGCTGACCTTCGGGTGCTAGGCGCTGGGCGGCAGGTGCAGCTGGGCGGCAGGTGCAGCTGGGCCTGGATGAGCGGGGAGGGCTCAGGCTTCTCAAAGGCCACCTGCTGCTTTGGTCACTACTACATCCTTCGAGGGATATCGGACTGCCGGTTTCAGCCGATCCCCACAGGGCCTGGCCTGCAGGGATCGGGCCTAAACCGGCAGTCGGACACCCCCCGAGGGATCTGGATTGCAAGAGGGCGCAGGCCAGGCTGAGGGACCCCACAGGTCCATGAATCCATGCACTGGGCCTCTAGTATCTCAATAAAGCTTTTACTAAAAACAATAACAAAGAGAATTAGGCAGGATGGCACTGGTGGACACACTGATGGGGCATTTAGGGACAGGCAGGACCATGTCGAGGAGGGCTCTGGGTTCTACTTGTGTCCTGGGGCCTTCAGAGGAGGAGGACAACAGGTAGACACTCCCTTTTGCTGCCTGCCTCTGGTGCTCACCGGACACCCAGGGCCAGGGCCCTGGAGGCAGCAGGACACACCGGTTTGGTTGCAGAAAGGAGGGCCAAGCTGGTGCTGCGGACTGACAAACCATGAACCTCGAAAGTGGTTGGGCCCAAAAGGACTGAGGTCCAGTTTCCAGAACACCAACCTCCAGGCTTATAGGTTGGGTGGAGGGGCAGAGAACCCCTTGAGGGAGACTGGGAGGGAATGCAGGGATGGGCGGTGAGCCCAGAGGAGGGATCGAGGAGGAGGTGGTCAGTGCCAGAGGGCGAGCTCTGAGAAGCATCTGCTGACTTTAATGAAAAGGAGGTCCTTAGCGCCACCCTACAGAAGTCTTCCTGACAGAGGACATGGGGACAGGAGGCTGGGCTGGGGCCAGAAGGGGGAGTGGGGTTATGAGAAACATTTCTATGATGCTCACCTTACAACCTAGGGACAGGGACTGGGGACTGAGACTCCTACAGCCAGCCACTGCTCCCCACTTTTAAAATTTGAGTTCCTTGTTGATAATTTCACTAATCCTTGTGAACTTTTAATTTTAAATTTTATAATTGAGACATCGATGTGAACTGTCATGCAAAGGGGCACAGAGACACCACCCACACCACATGGTGCAGCCATAACAGAATAAGGTTTATTGGCGGAAACTAGCAGCAGAGTGGGAGCAGGGAAGGAAAGCACAACTCCTCTGAGATGACGCTGTCTGCAGAGGGGACACCAGCTTCCAAGAGAGGGATCCGCCCTATGTACTTTGCCGTGACAGTGATGGAGCAAGGGACATCTCTGTGGCTTTCGAACCATGGAGGAAGTGGACTTAGAAGACACTTCTGGAGTTCAGTAGCGAAGTGGCCATGGGGCCACCCAAGGTGATGGGAGTGTGCAAATTCATGTCCATCGGCATCCTTAGTGTGAGCAACACGGACCATCCATCTGTCCTCCAAGGTCAAAGCAGGTGTGGCGAAGAGTAAGAGTGTACCAGCTCCGTCAATATGAACGTCCAGGAGGAAAGAGAGGCCTGCATCCTCTTTAGATTCTTCTCACACTGCACCCCAACTTCTGGGTGCCTAGAGCCCAGCCAAGGTGACAGCTGTGGGGCTTAGGAGTAGGGAAGTCGCCGGCCTGCAGACCCCACGGGAGAGGCACAGGGCAGGCTCTGCAGGTGGCAATGGCTGGGGCTCAGTGCTTCTCGCCAGGCACCTCAGGCCTGTGTGAGGTTCCAGTGAAACTCCATTTTCCGACCATGCGCCACTGAGATACGTGGACTGTGTGGCTTTGGTGGCCTCTGTTGTTGCCAAGGGGATGTGGATGTACACACCAGCTCTGCATGGTGAGTTATTAAATAAGGTTTATTGCGGGACATGAACAAGCAGAGGGACGGTGGGGGACGCTGAGATGTCACCGTCCCATAGAAGGACGGTAGGCTCCATGGCCAGCTTGCCAGGAGAGAGAGCCTGCCGTCTGTGCTCCCTCTGCAATTACAGGATGAGGGCCAGGAGCCTTGCTGTCAAAGACAAGTCCTCATGAGCAAGCAGCAGCCCCTGCCTCCCCTGGACCTGCGAGGCCAGCTCTCTGCTGTGACCAGGCTGGAGAAAGAGATGCTCGCCTGCCGCCACCCAGGTCTGCCTCTCCTCCTGCCTCAGAGGAACGTGGCTGACCCAGGACACTGCGGCCTCAGCCAGGTGGAGTCTGCTCCATGCTGACTGCCTGTGGACATCCGTGCTGGCTCCCATGGCCAGAAACAACTCCTGCCATGGGATCATGGACATTGGGTTTAAATGGGAAAACAGTGAGGGAGAAAGTCTGACAGTGTGTAGTGGCGCCTCTGGTTGGCCGGCTCTGTAACTGAGGGATGGCTGTGTCCCAGCAGCAGGTGGCCAAGGGGCACAGGGGCCCACGTGGCACCTGCCCAGAAAACACCTGAGTGGCCGGAGCTCGGCAGGGCAGGTCAGCTGAGCTCCAGAAATCGACAAGTTCCCCACACGTGCCCTGGCCAGAGCAGGGCCACACCCAGCGGGAAAGTCCTTGGCAAGCCTCGTGCTCTGGAAACAGATAGGTGTTTGTGGCTTGGGGCGGCAGAACAGGGAAGACTTTGTAAAAAGATGCTTCTTCAGATCTTTCGGAGGTCAGGCCTTCCCCACATCACGCACACCTTCAAGCTGCCAGCTCCTCGCACTCCTCTTCGCCTGCGTGAAGACACCATCAGGTATTCCTCCTGGAGGCCTCCTGAGGAGTGTGACAGCTGTTGATGCTTCGAAAGAGTGAGAAAGAGCTTTTGTCCAGCAGCAGCTAGTTTGGTGGGAAATGCCAGGGTCCTGTATGGACATGAAGTATCCTTGATGCCGGCGACACCAGTGGGAACGGAGACGGGCCTCACTGAGACTCGCTGTTGGGTTTATGTGATTACAAAGAAACACATATTCATTATAAAAACCCAAACATTGCAGAAATAGGTAACACAGAAAGTTAAGGATTCCTGTAATACCTTTCCTTAGAGAAAAACCATCCGCTAGATCATTTTTATACACACATATATGCATACATCATATCAATTCCTTTAAAACATGAGATTGCTCCATTGCCATAAAACTTGGGAATCCCTGGCTTTCCACACTAGCAAGTTCTGGGAGGAAACACCAACATGCCTACGAAGTCCCATGTCCTGCTCTGGAAGTCTCTGGGCCCTTTCAAGATTCTGTCAGGAAAGACAGTTTTCCTCTGTTACTGCGATCGGTTTAGAAAATGTTTACAAATCCCTTGATATTCCTCATTCCAAGCGGAAGAGCGTGATTCCTCTCCCTTGGGTGTGGTGACTGACTTCTAATGAACAGAGTAAAGCAAGAGTGACAGGATGTGACACTGGTTATAAAGCCACTGTGGCTTCCTTCCTTTTTTTTTTTTTTTTTAAAGGGAAACAGCCTGCCTAGCTGGCTTGGCTGTGGATAGAGCATCGGCCTGAGGACCAAAAAGTCCAGGGTTTGATTCCGGTCAAGGGCGTCAAGGGCACATGCACAGATTGCGGGCTCGATCCCCAGCAAGTGGTGTGCAGGAGGCAGCCAATCAATGATTTTCTCTCATCATTGATGTTTCTTCTAACTCTCCCTCTCCCTTCCTCTCTGAAGTCAATAAAAATATTCAATAAATAAGTAAATAAATAAAAATAAAGGAAAACAGCCTATTGGAAATATAATTGACTGGTCAAATTTTTATTTATTTATTTTATTGATTTCGAGAGAGAAGAAGAGGGGGGTGGTGGAGAGAGAGGTTTATTTGTTGTTCTACTTATTTTTGCATTCATTGATTGATTCTTTTAAAAAAATATATTTTATTTATTTTTTACAGAGAGGAAGGGAGAGAGATAGAGAGAAACATCGATGAGAGAGAAACATCGATCAGCTGCCTCCTGCACATCTCCTACTGGGGATGTGCCCGCAACCCAGGTACATGCCCTTGACCAGAATCAAACCTGGGACCTTTCAGTCTGCAGGTCGACGCTCTATCCACTGAGCCAAACCGGTTTCGGCCATTGATTGATTCTTATATGTGCCCTGACTGGGGATCAAACTCGCAACCTTGGCATATCAGGACAATGCTCTAACCAACTGAGCTACTTGGCCGGGGCTTCCTTTTTTCTTTTTCTTTTTTTCCTTCTTTTTTTTTTTTTTAAGTGACCTAGCAGTTTTGGCTTTTTAAAATATGTTTTTTTAAAAAAAATTGATTGCAAAGAGAGGGAGAGGGAGAGATAGAAACATCCATGATGAGAGAGAATCATCGATTGGCTTCGTCCTGCATGCCCCCTACTGGGGATCGAGCCTGCAACCAGGGCATGTGCCTTGATTGGGAATGGAACCATGACCTCCTGGTTCATAAGTTGATGCTCAACCACTGAGCCACACCAGCTGGGCTTTTTTTTTTTTTCCAAACAGCTTTATTGAGTTATAATCACATACCATATGGTTCACCCATTTTAAGTACAGAATCTGACTGACAGTTTTAGTATATTCACAGAGTTGTGCGGCCATTATCATAATTACTTTTAGAACATTTTCACTACCCCAAAGTCCTCTCCCTCCTCTTCTATTTTTGGGGAGAGTTTGTGAAGGATTAGTGTTAATTTTTTGAATGTTTTTTTAAAATTATTTTTTTGTTGATTTTTTTTAGAGAGAGGAAGGGAAAGTGGAACATCAATCAGCTGCCTGGCTGCCTCCTGATGCCCCTGAGCAGGGACAGCCCAGACCCGTGCCCTGGCGGGGAACTGACCCAGCAGCCTCTTGGTGCACAGGACGACTGGCCAGGGCTTTAAATGTTTTTATTTATTTATTTATTTGAGGCAATATTATTTTATTTCTTCAAATATGTTTTTATTTTAGAGAGAGAAAGGGAGAGGAAGAGAGAAACAACCTCCCGCAAGCCCACAACCCCGGCATGTGCCCTGACCAGGAACGGAACTGGCGACCTTTCGGTGCATGGAACAATGGTCAACCAACTGAGCCCCACTGGCCAGCGCTCTTTAAATGTTTAGAAGTCACCAATGAAGTCATGCATCTGAGTCTGGGCTTTTCTTTGTGGGAAGTTTTAAAATTACTAATTCATTCTCTTATTATAGGCCTATTTAGATTTCCTTGAGTCAGTTTTGATAGCTTGTCTTTATAGGAATTTTTTCATTTTATCTGTTATCTAATTGGTTGGCACACCATTGTTCATAGTATTCCCTTAAAGTCCTTTTTCTTTGAGATAGATAGTAATGTCCCATCTTTCACTCATAATTTTAAGAATTTGAATTTTCTCTACCTTTTTTTTTAAAAATATATTTTATTGATTTTTTACAGAGAGGAAGGGAGAGAGACAGAGAGCTAGAAACATCGATGAGAGAGAAACACCGATCAGCTGCCGCCTGCACATCTCCCACTGGGGATGTGCCCACAACCCAGGCACATGCCCCTAACTGGAATCGAACCCGGGACCCTTCAGTCCGCAGGCCGACGCTCTATCCTCTGAGCCAAACCGGTTTCGGCAATTTTCTCTACCTTTAAAAAATATTTTTGGGTCAATTTAGCTAAAGGTTTGTCAATTTTGTTGATCCTTTCAAAGAACCAAGTTTTGATTTAGTTAATTTTCTCTTCTCTATTTAATTTCTATTCTTATCTTTACTATTTCATTCCTTCTACTTTCTTTAGTTTACTTGTCCTTTTTTGTTTTTTAATATATTTTTATTGATTTCAGAGAGGAAGGGAGAGGGAGAGAGAGATAGAAACATCAATGATGAGAAAGAATCATCAATCCTGCATGCCCCACACTGGGGATGGAGCCCGTAACCGGGGCATGTGCCCTGACCAGGAATCAAACTGTGACCTCCTGGTTTGTAGGTTGATGCTCAACTACTGACTGATCCATGCTGGCCAGGCTACTTTGTTCTTTTTCTAGTGTTTTAACATGTAAGTTTAAGTTATAGAGTTGAGATCTTTCCTTTTTTAATATAAGTTTTATAGCTATAAATTTCCCTCGAAGCATTGCTTGGTTGTATCCCATAAGTTTTGTTATGCTGTGTCTACATTTTGTTCATTTCAAAGTATTTTCTAATTTTCCTTGTGATTCCTCTTTGAATCATTGGTTATTTGGGAGTGTATTATTTAATTTTCATATATTTGTGAGTTTCCCACATTTCTTTCTAGTTACTGATTTCTGGATTTATTCCACTGTGGTCAGATAATACACTTTGTATGACTTCAATCTTTTTAAATTTATGGAGTCTTGTTATATGACCCAGGTACGGTCTATCCTGAAGAATGTTCTATATGAGTTTGAGAAGAACTCTGCTATTGTTGGCAGTTTTCTTCTTGTTCTGCTCTCTCACTCATTTTGGGGGAAGATAGCTGACATGTTTGAGGACATTCAAGCAGCCCCCAGAGGACTCCATATGGTGAGAAACAGTCCTCCAGCTCACAGCCATTTAAGTGAACAGGTCATGTTGGAGCTATTCCTCCCTCCCCACTTGAGCCTTCGGAGGACTGCAGCCCTGGCTGACATCTCTTCTTCAACTGTGAGAGACCCTGATCCAGAACCACCCAGCCCAACCACTCCTGAAATCCTGACCCACAGAAACGGTGGGAGATAGTAAATATTTGTCATTTTAAGCCTCTAAGTTTGGGGTTAATTTGTGACACAGCATTAGATAACTAGTATAATTACCCATTAATCTGCTGGCTTTCAGGAGAATAACTCTTGAAGCACAGTTGAACTTTAGTCAGCAGTTTTATCTTTTCTAAGGAAAAAAAATGGAAAAGCTAGATTAATAATTTTTTTCTTGTGGAAGCTGCTACAGCCAATGACACACACCTTGTAATGATGACATCAAAACCTTGAGGATAATGAAAAGCAGATAAAATGATGCTGATTTGGGGAGTCATTGGGAAGCCCCAAATTAGCTGTGCCCAGTAAAATCCGCTATTTGAGATTCTCAGAGTCATTCTGTAGCCCTTGTCATCAAAAAGATTGGGATTAACCAGATATCAAAGATGATCCACCCTTTACCATGCCAAAGGCACTCCATAATGTCTACTTCCTGTTTAAACCCAACAGTGGCTTTCTCTTGGAAATCTCTTTTTTTCTTTTTTTAGGTAGAAATCAAGTTTCTTTTGGTTATTTTATAGCACTTGAATTCATTTCTGTATTTTATAAGATGTGGCCGTAATGTTTACATGAATTAATAGGAGGCACACACTGCTTCCCAGAGACCGGGTTTATATGCTGTTTATGTACAGAGAACCCACTCGGTTCACACAGTTCATTATTTGCAAAACTTTACGTGTGTGTGTGCATATGTGCACACATTAGTACATTCTTCCAGGTGGTCTCTATTTTTTTCATCATATTTTCAATCAGTAAAAAACTAAGACCTCTGGGGGGTAATGTGGGGATAAGGACACATATGTAATAACTCAATCAATAAAGAAATTTAAAAAAATAAAGATAAAATGCCATTCCAAAACTCTAAAACACACACACACACACACACACACACACACAAAACTAAGACCTCTTACAATAAAAGAAAGAGAAAACTGTAGTTTGTAAGGATGGGACAGATTTAGGTGTATTTTCAGGTTCAGGAGAAGAAGCCAATAGAGAGGACAGATAGAAAATTCTGGAAAGCAGAAATGCCCTGGCAGACAGTGCCTATCCCCTGAGGTGTCTGAACTTTGAGCTGGCAGAGACCAAGATCCCACAGGTCTTTTTAATCTCTTCTGCACCCCCCACCCCCTCCCTGTTGGTACCTGGATCCTCCTGCTGGGCTGCAATGGGAAGCCGCTCACGCCGCCTCAGGGCCTCCAGGCCAACCAGATCCGGCATGTGGCAGTGGGCGCGCATCACCGTCACCTGCTGGCCCTGGGTAATGGCCCGGCTGCGGCAGCCCAGCCGGGCCTGGTCCCGGCACATCCAGTACACCTTCTCACCAGCAGCCTTCTCCTTCCTGTAGAGGAAGCACTCGTGCACCAGGAACCTGCCCCCGAGGGAAGTCTTCAGGAACTCCAGCGGCTGGGGGGGTCCTAGAAGGAACATCACGCGGTGAGTGGGGTGCCTGGGCCGGGCCTTGGAAACAGGGGAAGGAGCCTGGGTGCCAGAGACGGAAGCTGTTTCCTTCTTCCCACCAGCCTGTGCCAACCGGAAACTGTCAACCCCCGGCAGGACCACTCTGGTCCCTGCCCTCTACCCCTGTCTGTGCCTCAGGGACCTGGGCTGAAGCTCAGGTCACCAGCCCTGACACCTTCAAGTGGAGACTGGCTGCCTAAGGGCTCTGGTGCTGCCTGGGGAGGCTGGCCTGCAGCCACCCAAATCCTGAGTTTCCTGCAAGCCTCTCCGGACTTGGCTTGGACCCCACATTTGATGGCAAGTGCCCCAGGACAGGGGCTGAGCTGGAACATTCTGGGAGCCCAAGGCTGGTCTGAACCTTTGGCCAGCTGGCAACCAATCAACTCTCTCTCTCTTAACACTTTTCAGAACCTTAACTGAAAGGTCATGCATGTTGGGGTTGGGGTGGGGAAGGTGAGGGGAAGGGAGAGACAGAGGAAAACAGAAACAAGAGAGGCCCAGAGAACAGACAAAGGGTCCCCAAGGTGCAGGCACGTTGCCCCATACATGGGTGCTGAGCACAATCATGCCACCCTGGCCCACCCCATTCCTCCAGGGGTCTGAGCTGGTTTCTCTTACTGACAACCCATCCCGGACTGGGCCCAACGTGAGTGGGGAACCCAGAGGGAGCCTCTGCCCACAGGGAACTCAGCCAGTGGACAGACTGACAGGCATGGTTGGACCCCACTGGACATGGCCATGGATGGGAGGTCCTAGCAGGCAGCTCCGCCTGTGTTTTGGGGCTGGCCCCGGGGGCTGCCCGGCCAGCAGGGAGACCAGGGCCCAGCGCCCGCCCACACCTGAACCTTCCCTCAGGACTTGGGTGGGGAACGGCTCGCGCTGCTTCAGGGCCTCCAGGCCCCCCAGGTCCGGCGGGTGGCAGTGCCTGCGCATTACCATCACCCGCTGGCCCTGGGTGATGGCCCGGCTGCGGCAGCCCATGCGGGCCTGGTCCCGGCACGTCCAGTACACCTTGTCGCCAGTGGCCTTCTCCCGCCTGTAGATGAAGGACTCGTGCACCAGGAAGCTGCCGCCCAGAGGGGTCCTCAGGAACTCAGGGTCTCCTGGGGAGAAACGGGGGGAGCAGTCAGGGGAGGGAGAGCCCGGAGCCCAGGCCTTGGAACAGAGCAATGAGGTGGGCAGGGGCCCTGTTCTCAGACCCGCGCAACATGGTTCGAGGAGTGACCTCCACAACCTCTGCCCCAAGCTGTACCCACTTCCTCCCAGCTAGAGGGCCCTGGAGCCCCGGACACAGATACCCACCCACCCCCAGCTTCCAACCCAGCCTCGCCTTAGCTCCAGGGGCTCCTTTCCAAAGCCTGGCAGGGAGGGGAGATGAGAGGCTGGTGAGGTGGAGGCCCCTGGAGGCAGAGGGCTGTCCCTCCATCTCGTGGTGCTGACAGGAAAGGGGTGTCTTTGCTATATCTCCTAGCTTACCCAGGTGGCTGCAATGGGGTGCACACTGGCCATGCAGTCCCCGCTGAGTGGGAGGGTAAGCGGACAGCCACTCCGGGGGACAAGTAATCAGCAGTACAATAGGCACAGTGTGGAGCGCACAGCCGACTCTCCAGGGAGCCAGGCTGGGTGGGGATTTGACGCTAAGGCAGCAGGAGGAGGCAAGCAATAGTGTGAATGTGTTGAGACGGAGGCAGTTAAACGCTTCTGCCCAAAGAACTCCCTTCCCTCTGTCCAGGTACAGGGACCACACAGAGGGGCTGGAGACAGACCGGGGAGTCTGTTTCCCCACAGCAGAGGACGGCCCTGGAGAGGTGGGGTGTCTGGATGTGGCTGGAGCTGGGTGACCTCAGGGCATGTTTCTGTTCCCCTGGCACCCAATGAAAATGTCCCCCGAGGAAGGCAGGCACAGAGCACCAGGACAGGAATCGGGAGAGGGGAGGGGCGGGCCGCACAGCAGAGATGCTGACAGAATGGTCGAGGCTGGGGGTGAGGGGTGGGCTGTGATCAGACTTGGCAAACCAGCCTGTAGCGCAGTGGTTCTCAACCTTCCTAATGCCGCGACCCTTTAATACAGTTCCTCATGTTGTGGTGACCCCCAACCATAAAATTATTTTCGTTGCTACTTCATAACTGTAATTTTGCTACTGTTATGAATCGTCATGTAAATATCTGATATGCAGGATGTATTTTCATTGTTCTCGACCCACAGGTTGAGAACCGCTGCCAGGGGAAGCCACTGACAACAGTGGAGTCCAGTGGCCAAGTCTGGGAGCCTGAGGTCCCTCTGAAGATGGGTCCATGGCAGCGCCACGCAGGGCCTGGGTGTGGGTTGTTTGTATGAAGAACAACCTTATAAGGGGGTCTGCGCCTGGGGAGGAAGAATCTTGGGGTGGGGAAAAAGGAAGTGGAAGTCTGCATTGGGACTGTGACACTTCTTACTTGTTTTCCATGCCCCAGGCCCAGAACGGGGGCAGCCAGTCTTAGCCCACTGTGGGAGGGTCCTCCTGTGGGCACTGGCCCATCCTTGCATAGGACCACTTCAGAAAGCTGTGGTCATTCAATAACAGAGACCATATAACCAAGGAAGGATCTATAACCCGGAGCTCTGCAAACAGCCACACTCTCCATCAAGATACCTTCGGACACACATGGTCTCAAAGTGCGGCCTCCAGGGGCCCTTGCCGGGCTAGTAACGAGAGGAGGGACTTCAAAAGACAAGGAGGTAAACCAAGCAAGAGAAAGAGAGACCTCGAGATGAGGTCAGCTAGGGGACCCCAGTCAGACTGGAGCAGAAAGCCTGGTGAGCTGCCCGCTGCTGGGTGAGGAGGAGACGTGTGAGGAAGGAGCGATGGGCACGCAGAACACTAGGTGGACAAATAAAGCAGCTGCTCAGCTGCCTGGAAAACAAAGAGCTGTGTGAGGGAGAAGCCGTCGCAATGCATGCCCAGCTCAGCGAACCCATTTATACAATAAAGCGAAAACGAAAACTGCAGTAACTGCACTGAAAGGATGGGGGCAGCAGGTAACAGCTGAGTCCTCTATCTTTACCAACACTTCCTCTCATTAGAAATCAAAAGAGATTCAGTTGATGATGGTAGAAGCTCGTTTCAAGAAATAGGGTACCCCTGGCTGGTGTGGTTCAGTGGTTGGAGCGTTGTCCAATACACCAAGGGGTGGCAGATTGGATTCCCGGTCAGGGCGCCTACCCAGGTCGCAGGTTTGATCCCTAGTCAGGCACAAGTGGGAGGCAGCCAATTGATGTTTCTCTCTTACTTTTTCTCTCTAAAAATCAATAAAAAAATAAAAGAAACAAGGGAAAGAGCTCAGAATTATTATTTGGGGTGGGAATTGGGAGTGAGGATGGGGCGGGGCTGCCGTGTGCCTTGTAGCTTCATCTCCAGGTACACAGAAGTTACATGGAAATGGAATAAAGAGTCAGAAAGAAATACAATCAGAAATCTCAACTGCCCAGAAAACCTGAGAGAACTTTAGGGCCAAAAAGTTCCTAATTTAGAAATTAAACAACTGATAACTTCTGAAAGAGAGGCAGGTGTCTCCCAGACATGAGTGCAAAGCTGGGTAAGTAAGAGAAGGCAGGGCCAAAGCTGCTCTTCTTAGCAAGACGAGGACAAGAACATTTACGTTATTTACATCTTATACCTGTGAGAGTCCAAAAACCAGGCCCTCTGGGGCTGACCAAGTGGACAACGATGGAAAGAGAGGGGCTGCGACCCTCGTCAATGGCTCCCTTAGGGCAGATGATAGATATTTATGGAGCAGAGCAGAGGAGAGAAGTAGTTGGCTAATTACATGAAAATACCACCTTCTGTCTTTAATCACGTGGTCTGTAGGATGTGCCTGTTACTCAATACTGTATTATCCAATCACACTGTAAAAGTGAGAAACTGGCCGTGTGGAATTAGCTTCCTCTATGAATTCTTAAGAAAGAAAAGGGAGGAGGAAGAGGAAAGGAAGGCTGGGTTGATCACGTGCTGTGGAGATGTGGGGGCAGCTTGGGGCTGGTCTACCACCTGAGTGAGTGGGACGACCTAGAGTCACCCCGAGTCTGGTCAGGGAATGTGGAGAGGTGGTGGTGGAGGAGTGGAGGCAAGGAAAGGGAAAGGCAAGAGGAGAGCTCCTGGTAAGGTACGGGAGGTGCCTGCTAAGGGACATGGGCGTCAAAAAGGAAAGGCTGGCTGATCTCCTGCCTGTCCCCAGACCTGCTCCCCATCTGTCTTACCTGAACTCCCCCTCTGGCCGACACCAGGGCGTTTCTCCCGCTGCCTCAGGGTCTCCAGGCCCATCAGATCAGGAGGGTGGCAGTGGCCTCGCATCACGGTCACCTGCTGGCCCTGGGTGATGGCCCGGCTGCGGCAGCGCATGCGGGCCTGGTCCCGGCACGTCCAGTACACCTTGTTGCCAGCGGCCTTCTCCCGCCTGTAGAGGAAGGACTCGTGCACCAGGAAGCTGCCCCCCAAAGGGGTCCTCAAGAACTCAGGGCCTCCTTATGAGAAATGGGGTAGGTGGTCAGCAAAGGCTGAGCCAGGCCTGATGCCACCCCCTCCCGCTCCCAGGCCCTCAGGATGTAAGACTTGAGGGGGCCCCGGCTCTGGCCAGTGGGCTTGAAGGACTCACCCAGGCCCTTTTCCTGGTCCCTGGTGGGAGATTCCTGCAGGGCCTGCGGCTTCGTGTGCTTTCTGGGCCGGGGCCTGGTGAGGGTCAGGGTGCCAGGCCCCCTGTGGTACAGCAGGCTGTCCACACCTTGGAGCAGCTTGTTCACTTGGCCCCCAGGGCCGCCTGGCCTGGCCTTCTGCGTCTCCATGGTCTTCTCCTGCTGCCGCCGGGCCTGCAGGCCCTCCATGTCGGGCGGATGGCAGTGGCCGCGCATCACGGTCACTCGCTGGCCCTGGGTGATGGCCCGGCTGCGGCAGCCATGAAGGACGTGGTCTCGGCACGTCCAGTACACCTTGTCTCCCACAGCCTTCTCTCGCTTGTACAGGAATGACTTGTGCACCAGGAAGCTGCCCCCATAACAGGTCTTCAAGAACTCGAAGGGCGGGCGCTCTGTTGGGGAAGGAACCAGCAGTCACAGTGGTCAGAGGGGCGGCGGTCAGGCCGTGCTGCTAGTGGAATGTGTGGCCAGGCGTGCTCTGTCCAAATGCAGCCCACTGCACCCCGCCCAGCAGCTCAAGGGGGAGTTGCAGTTCCTCTTCTGCAAGATCATATGCCCAGGTGGTCCAAGCTGGCTCTGACTCCACAGCCTATGCCCTCACGCACTCCAGGCCATACTTTTTCTTAGGGTTTATTTGAAAATGTTATCTAATTTTTGATTTATACTTGCACGCGCCATAAAATACAGATGGTACCAAAAGATACACAATGTAAAACAAGTCCCTGCCCCGGGTACTCAGAACAGCAGTTGTTTTAACAGCGGTTGACTCCTTTCCAACCAGCCTTTGGGACCAAGCCCACCACCCAGTTGTGGGTAATAAAAACTGCACAAAAATTCCGCCTGCAAGTTACTCAGAGCCACCACATGCTGGGCCAGTGCTGAGCACTGCCCACTTGTCCAACACCTAATCTCCCTGACATTTAGACTATGATCCATCCTAGGACAAAGCTCCCAAAACTGCAGAAATTCAGCAAATGTTCTGAGGCTACCCAGCTACATGAGATGGGGCTGGAACGTGAACCTGGGACCCACAGCTCAAAGTTCTCCCACCAGGTTGACCTTCCCAAACTGCCCAGGTTGCTAGAATCACACGGAGCCCATTAAAACTCATGATTCTGTGGCCTCACACCAGACCCTGCTGTGTCAGA